ATCCTGCATGTTTGCATAATACAAATATAACACTAAAAATTAAATTCTAATACAATATCTTTAATTATATTTTGCTTTTATAACTAAACCAACAAATGAGAGGAAAAGAAATACAAAACCCATAAATCTTTCTAAATATTACATTTTGAAACCCATTCTCACTGTAGGTGTAGTGCCAACTATCACAGCTTTGGCTCTGCATTGACTCTCACTCTCTCGCTTTGACTCTCTCTCATAACCTCTCTCTATCTCTCTCTCCCTCTCCTCACACTATACACTACCAAAACCACAGTACGTGTAGTTTTGAATATTTGTATTGAAATGCAATAATTGAATGAGTAATGACTAATATATACACACATAACTCATAGACATAGATATAAAGGGATTAAAGTTTTGTTTTTATTTATATCCGGTCTATTGTTTTGATGTACAAATGCAAAATACATTAGGTACAAGTAAACCTCATTATATGTAACGATTAAGTAAAGTGCGTTTATATTAAATGGGCAAATTATACTCGATCTACCAATCTACCGAAATGTATTTGTGTGTGTGTATGAGTGAGAGAGAGAGAGAGAGAGAGAGAGAGAGAGACCTTTATATCTATGTCTATGAGTTATGTGTGTATATATTAGTCATTACTCATTCAATTATTGCATTTCAATACAAATATTCAAAACTACACGTACTGTGGTTTTGGTAGTGTATAGTGTGAGGAGAGAGAGAGAGAGAGAGAATGAGAGAACAAATACCGTCAAATAAATCAATGTTTTAAATGATGTGAAAAATAGTAATTTAAATATTATTTAATAATAATTGTAATGAAAATAATTCAATGAATTGTATTTTAAATACGAGTGAAATGAATGGCAAACGAGTGTCAAGTGATAAATGTATTTAAAGTATTGAAACAATTGATATTTCAAACTATGTAAAAATCAGTGATAATTTAGTTAATAATAGTTATAATAATAGTAATAGAGTTATAAAGTGATTATAAATCCGGTTAACAGTAATACTAATAATAAATGTCTTATAAGTGACTCTCCGTTACATCTATTAATTCAATTATTGCATTTCAATACAAACATTCAAAACTACACGTACTGTGGTTTTGGTAGTGTATAGTGTGAGGAGAGGGAGAGAGAGAGATAGAGAGAGGTTATGAGAGAGAGTCAAAGCGAGAGAGAGAGAGAGAGAGAGAGAGAGAGAGAGCAAATACCGTCAAATAAATCAATGTTTTAAATGATATGAAAAATAGTAATTTAAATGTTATTTAATAATAATTGTAATGAAAATAATTCAATAAATTGTATGTTAAATACGAGTGAAATGAATGGCAAACGAGTGTCAAGTGATAAATGTATTTAAAGTATTGAAACAATTGATATTTCAAACTATGTTAAAATCAGTGATAATTTAGTTAATAATAGTTATAATAATAGTAATAGAGTTATAAAGTGATTATAAATCCGGTTAACAGTAATACTAATAATAAATGTCTTATAAGTGACTCTCCGTTACATCTATTGATTCCCTGTCTGACTGTTGGGCTAAAGAAAGACAATTAATAAATAAAATCAATATTCATGTAATTAAAAGCAAATTTAGTTAATATGAAACGGAAATCTTGCGAAACATTTGGCAAACATTTTGTGATGAATTTAATTGCGATGAAGACATGAAAACATGTTTATTAAGGTTTTTCTCCCGAAGTGTTAAATACAGTAAAACCGATAGAAAAAAGTTTTGGGAATTTATGAAACGGGAAAAGTTTTACCTGAGATTAGGCTATGGTTTGCCTAACCGTACGATTGAACACATCTATACCACGGCAAAAAAAAGAGAGAGGGAGAGAGAGAGAGAGAGAGAGAGAGAGAGAGATTCATTTACCCAAGTAATTTTACCGGGAATTAACTAGTACTTTGATTAAATGAAAACCATATGAATATTTCAAATATTTTGTTTACTTTTATTATTAGAAAACCTATTTTTAGGAAATAATCCAAATTTGAAACTTTTATGATTGCCTTTTAGATCAAATGTATGGGCTTTTGATCGCTACATGCAGTGAGACTTGATTTCAAAGAGAAGATCATTCAGTATTGCAGAGACTTTTGTGGCGAAAGTATCACTAAAATGAAGATATATTTGTGAAATATATCTTATATTTTAGACCAAAACACTTGTGTTACAGAAGTTGTGTTTAATTATTGGTGTATTAGTAAGTATTTTCTCTAATTGTTTGTTTAATTAGTTTTTTAATACTGTTTTGCGAGAAATATTTAAAATTTTGTCAGAAAAATAATTAATATTATCTTTTATTATATTCAGATCGCGATAATACGTAACCAGAAAAAGCTCCCAATTGTCTCATTACATAACAGTAATTGTAAGATAATTAAAACAATTTCCTTCAGTTTTCCGCACAAAAATGGATCAGTTATTAGATTACAAGACATTTTGTGTGATTTTCAATCACATCACAGCAGAAGAATACCAGAATCTGAAGATTCTGTGTGTCTTCGGCAACACATCCGTCATATACGTGACAAACGACGACAAAGTCTATGGTTTTGGCAATAATAACAACGGATGTCTGGGTTTGGGCGCCGACTACAGGCGCATACATCGACCGGCACTTAACCCATACCTGAGCGGCAAGTGTTTGGCCGATATTGCAATCGGGAGACAGTTTTGTATCGGACTGACAGCGGATGGCCGGTGCTATTCATGGGGTGCCAACGATTTCGGTCAACTGGGCGTCGGATACGTCAATAAAGAGGTCGCACCGAAACTCATGAAGGGATTGGCCGACAAACGAGTGATCCGTATTTGTGCCGCTCAGGACTTTGCACTGGCGTTGACTGTATGCGGTCGAGTGTACGGTTGGGGCCGTAACTCGTTTGGCCAGTTGTGTGAACACACCTATAGTATCAAGTATTACCCGAAAGAGTTAATGTTTACCCACAAAATAGCGGACATTTCGTGCGGTTCAACACACGCCATGGCGTTGACAGACACGGGCCGAGTCTACACGTGGGGTAACAATAGGAACGGACAGTTGGGTCGAGGCTTTAAAAAGTTAGGATATAAACGTCCGATGTTAAGCAGTAAATGTCCAAAACTCTTAGACTTTGATCCCGTCGTCCGTAAAGCCATTTGCGGTTCCGACCACTCGATGCTATTGACCACCGATGGAGAGGTCTATGCGTTTGGTATGAACTCATACGGACAGGTAGGCAATGGCATCAGAGGCGCTCAGTTTCTGCTAACACAAGTCTCGGATCAGATTATATTCAAAGATATTATGACAAATACTACGGGCAATATGTCTGCTGCCATTGCTGTTGACGGCGAGTACTATATATGGGGTGAATGTAAAGACAGACCAATACTTAAACCACAAAAAGTGAACAAAAATGGCATTAAATCTGTGTTTGAATTGTTTGTCAAGTATTCAAAATTCATGACAACTTATAAAACGATTGTTTGTCCGGCAATTCAGTTGACAATTGATTCAACTGAATGTTCAGACATTGTGTCCACAGATTTAGACACACAATCGCCGCAAGAAATCACTTGTTTTGATAAAAAGTTGGACAAGAATTCAGGGAATAGGGAATCAGAAGAAGACGTGCCGACTATTGACAGCACAGTTGATGACAAAACAATTAAACAATCATCGCTTCAGAACATGGGTTCAAACATATCAATCACTTCTTCGTTGAATGCGACTATTTTTCAACAAACTTTGTGCCAATCTTTCAATAATCCCGAAGACTCTGATATTGTGTTCCGATTTAGGGATCAACTGATTTATGGCCACAAACTTATCCTTAAAATGCGAAACAAAAAGTTTTGGCACAAATGCGAGCACTATATGGACGCCGACGGCAAAGAGATTCGTCTCAAACAGTATTCATATAAAAGTTTTTTGACATTTATTCAGTATTTATACACTAATTGTATGGAAATCAGCGCCGATATTGTCGACCAATTGCTAACTCTGGCCAACATTTACGGCGAAGAATCGCTCGCGAGTCTGTGCTTTGAGTTTATGATACAAACAATCGATGTCTTCAATGTGTGCCAACTCTACGCCAAAGCACTGGAACTGAAGTGCGAAGAATTGGAGACCAAATGCCATCACTTTATGGCACAGAATATGAAAGATATTTGTTTAACACAAGAATTCCGTGAATTTGACGGCGAGTTAGCGAAACAATTCATTATTCAGGCATTCATTGCAAACTAAGAATGTTTTTAATTACTGTATAACTCTTATTATAATCATTAACTTTTATTACAATACATAGAGATTAACAATGATTAGTAATTGCTTTATGTATTATTTTAAAATAACCATGTTTACTTTTATACTGTACTATTGAACAATTAGAAATAATAAAAGTACACTTTACGACAAAATAAATTTAAAAACTAATAGAAAATAAGCAGTGTTTGACTCAATTGTTGTGTTAACACACAATACAACTCTCACTAACGTTATAACGAATTGACTAAACGTTACAATTAACCCGAGGGTCACGTGAGGGGCAATCAATTGCTCATATGTTGTAATTATTTTAATTTAGTTAAATTACAATTATAAACATTTTCAACATTAATTTAAATTAGACTCAAATAATATACAGTAGTTTTTATTGTGTGTTAATTAAATAATTCAAAATGTTCTACAGTATATATCAATTCATTTTATAAACCATACAAATTGTTACATAAATACTGACTAATCATAGTTCAATTAGTTCAACTATTAGTGATTATAATAAGCATATTTTACGCCAAAATAAACCGACAAAACAAATACAAAGTAATCATAAGTATTGCTATCAATAAAAAGTGCGCCGTTTTTAATGTCATCGCAAAGTTTGCCGCAAACAATGGATCACTTATTGGACTACAAGACGTTTCATATGATATCCAAACACTTGACACCAGAAGAATACAAGAATCTGAAGATTGTGTGCGTTTTCGGCCACAGATCTATCATATATGTGACAAATGAAGACAAAGTGTACGGATTTGGCGACAATACGAAGGGGTGTCTGGGTTTTGGCATTGATTACCCGGCCATACATTGGCCAACACTTAACCCATACCTGAGCGGCAAGTGTTTGGTAGATATCCACTTCGGACTAAAGTATTGCATCGGACTGACAGCCGATGGCCGGTGCTATTCATGGGGTGCCAACGATTTCGGTCAACTGGGTGTCGGTATAAGCGATATAAATTCGGTGCCGCAACTCATCGGCGGTAAATTGACTGACAAACGCGTGACCCGTATGTCTACCTCTACTTCGCATACCATTGCGCTGACCGAATGCGGTCGAGTGTATGGCTGGGGCCGCAACACGTTTGGCCAATTGGGTGACCGCACTGTCGACCACAAGTTTCAACCCGTGCTCATCGAGTTTGGCCACAAAATAGCGGACATTTCGTGCGGCAAAACCCACTCAATGGCGTTGACAGACACGGGCCGAGTCTACGCGTGGGGTAACAACAGTAACGGACAGTTGGGTCGAGAAATGAAAACTAATCAAAAGAATCGCTTGATGTATACCATTAGTCGTCCAAAACTTTTAGACTTTATTCCCGTTGTCCGTAAAGTCGTGTGCGGTTCCGAACACTCCCTACTGTTGACCACCGATGGAGAGGTCTATGGGTTTGGTATGAACTCATGCGGACAGATAGGCAACGGCACCACAACTGATCATTATCTGCCCACTAAAGTGTCCGATCGGATCAGATTTAAAGACATTATCGCTAAAAGTTTGAGTCACATATCAATTGGTGTTGCGGTCGACGACGAGTACTATATATGGGGTGAATGCGATCGCAAACCAATACTTAGACCTCAAAAAGTGAGCAAAACTGGCATTAATTCTGTATTTGAATTGTTTCTTAAGTTTTCATATAAGATGATACATATTGTCTGTTCAACTAATCTCAACACCGCAACCACTCAATGCTCAAACATTGAGCACTCATCTCTTAAACATTCATCGCTGGCCATTGATAACACTGAACGCAAAGTTTCCACACAATCATCACTTTCTGACTTTAATATATCACTCATTTCGTGGACATGTTTTCAACAAAATCTGCGCCAAGCGTTCAATAATCCCGAAGACTATGACATTGTGTTCCGGTTTAGGGATCAACTGATTTATGGCCATAAAATTATATTTATGATACGAAACGCGGAGTTTTGGCACAAATGCCAGAAATATATGGACGCCGACGGCAAAGAGATTCGTGTCAAACAATATTCATACAAAAGTATTTTGGCATTAATTCAATATTTCTACACTAATTGTGTGGAAATCGGCGCCGATATTGTCGACCAATTGCTAACTCTGGCCAACATTTATGGCGAGGAATTGCTGGCGAAAAAGTGTTATCAGTTTATGATTCAACCCATCGATGAACACATAGTTAGTGTGTCCACTGGTTTGTACACACAATCGCCACAAGAAATGTGTCGATTTAAAGCATCGCCTGAATTTGATATATCAGGCGATCGGGAATCAAACGGTGACTTAAAACTAGACGTGTCTACCAATGAGAGCGCATTTGACAACAATTTAATGAGACAATCGTCGGTTCTGTCTGTCGGCTCATTTACATCAATCACTTCTTCATCGGACGAACCCATTTATGAGCAAAATTTTCGCAAAGCGTTCAATAATTCCGAGGACTCCGACATTGTCTTCAGATGTAATGATCAACTCATTTATGGTCACAAACTTATACTTATGATACGAAACAAAAAGTTTTGGGACACATGCGAGAGACATCTGAACGCTGAGGGCAATGAGATTCGTGTTAAACAGCATTCATATAAAGCTTTTTCGGCATTTATTAAGTACTTATACACTAATAATGTGGAAATCGGCGCCGATATTATCGACCAATTGCTAACTCTGGCCAACAATTATGACGAAGAACTACTCGCAAATATACTGAGCCATCAGTTTATGATGTTTTCAATGTGTGCCAACTCTACGCCAAAGCACTGGAACTGAAGTGCAAAGAACTGGAGACCAAATGCCATGAATTTATGGCACAGAATATAAGAGAAATTTGTTTTACACAAGAATTTCGAGAATTTGACGACCGCTTAGCGAAACAATTCATTATTCATGCATTCACTGCAAACTCTAATATTATGTAATTAATAACCATCATTCACTTTCATTCACTTGTATTAGAATCTCGATTATCAATTTAATTATCAATTTAATTATCAATTTAATTATCAATTTAATCTTAATAAAATTAATTATGTTTTAAATATATGTTGTTATTCAAAGTACACTCGTTATATTAGTTGTCAAATAAATGCTTTTTAGAGATAAGACTATTATGTAATGTAAGTGTGGGTCCAAAGTGTATGTCGGGTGTAATTTGAGATCAAGTTCAAGTATTAGCAAACATCACATTCACACTTGTATATGTTGTTCACAATTATATCGTTCATACGAGTAGTGATATTAAAATAATTATTTTATTTTAATTGTATTTTGTTATTTGTTAAATGTAATAAAAATCAAATCAAATAACATTAAAATAGATACAGCTTTATAATGGAATTCATGTAAATTTATAGCGAAAGCTGTGGTCAACCCAATTCAATCTATTTACATAGATTATTGGATTAAGATAACCAGGATTACTTTTATACATCACACCTGTACTGTACAACCAGTTGTATATCAATTGTACCAAACATTTTCAACTAAATTTTTGTGATTGAAAACACGTTGTTTTTAGTTGACTAACAAATGGATCAATTACTAGATTTTAAGACATTTCATATGATATCAAAATACTTGACACCAGAAGAATATCAAAATCTGAAGCTATTGTGTGTCTTCAACCGGGTATCCGTCATATATGTGACAAATGATGACAAAGTATACGGCTTTGGAAACAATGAGAGCGGATGTCTGGGTTTGGGCGCTGACGACAAGAACACATATCGACCCAAACTTAACCCATACCTGAGCGGCAAGTGTTTAACTGACATCCAATACGGGTACTTGTTTTGCATCGGATTGACAGCCAATGGCCGGTGCTATTCGTGGGGACTCAACGATTTCGGTCAACTGGGCGTCGGTATAGCGGACAAGCATTCAGTGCCTCAACTAATTGGCGGTGAATTGGCGGACAAACGGGTTACTCGTGTGAGTGTTTCAAATTCACACACTCTAGTGCTGACCGAATGCGGTCGAGTGTACGGCTGGGGCCGCAACACGTTAGGCCAGTTGGGTGACGACACTGTCCGTCACAAGTCTGAACCCGTGCTCATCCAATTTGATGACAAGATAGCCGACATTTCGTGCGGTAAAACTTTCTCAATAGCCCTGACAGAGACGGGCCGTCTCTATACGTGGGGTAACAACAGAAATGGACAGTTGGGCCGTGAAATTAAGTTGTCTGTTAAGAGTGGTCTCAGTGTACTTGTGAGTTCTCCGAGACTATTGGATTTCGATCCCGTTGTTCGTAAAGTTGTTTGCGGTTCCGACCACTCACTGCTATTGACCACCGATGGAGAGGTCTATGCGTTTGGTCTCAATTCGGTTGGACAGGTAGGCAATAGCACCACAAGTACTCATTGTCTGCCAACCAAAGTCTCGGGTAACAACATATTTAAAGATATAATAGCAAACAGTATGACAAGTATATCAATTGGTGTTGCGGTCGACGGCGAGTACTATATATGGGGTGAATGTGAAGACAGACAAATACTTAGTCCACAAAAAGTAGATAAGAATGGTATTAAATCAGTGTTTGAATTGTTTGTCAAGTATTCAAAATTCAAGACAACCTATAAAACAATTGTTTGTCCGCAAAATCAATTGACAAGTGATTCAATTGAATGTTTAGACATTGTGTCCAACGATTCAGACATAACATCTCCTCAAGAAGTCAGTCAACCAGAAAAGACAACAGTATTTAAGGTAACAAATCCAGTAATGCCTCAAATTAGAAAAATGGGATCAAATTGTATACCAAAACGTGATATGGCTTTTGAGCAGCACTCGTCGGTAACCATCAACACTGCATTCAACAATCAATCAT